TAAAGATCTGGCCACTGAGCAGAGATTGCAGAAAACATTGAGCTTGAAAATGGAGGTGTAGATAGAGAAGCAATGCTGAGTCTAAGGTCAGAGCCATCTTATGGGATTGGACTGCTCTGTCAAGGCCAGCAGATGCGTTGGATGAGCAGCACCACAGCTGGGATGTGTGGTCCTTGAAAGTCCTCCATGTAGCTGAGAACTTGGAAATTCAACAGCACACAGGAGAACTGCTGAGGATCTGGTAAGGCAAGCCAGCCAGGAAGGGAAAAAGCAGGTGACCATCCTTTGTCAAAAAGGATGTGGCCAACAAAGCCATCCAGTTCTGGCAATTACCTGTTTCTACTGGTACAGTAGTGCTGAAAAAGTTATTCAGTGTTAGCTATAAGTTCCCTGGGATGATTACACATGCTCTCTATTTCACATTAAGAAATGGTCAAAAGAATGTTGGAGTTTTCACTGTAGAAAAATTGAATGAGTGCCCAGTCTTTGCAAGAAAGAATGGACAGATATGACCTTAGGTGTAAGAAATACCATCCAGTGAATCACCTGTTCCTGATTTTCAGAAGTGTTTAGCACCTCCACCAGGGATAATGGTTTAAAGAGCTCTGTAGAGTGGCTTGGTACTCTTTGGGAAAAATCTATTCCCCTAGCATCATGAAGAGATGTGCACAGGATGAGCTGGCAGAACATGCTCTGACTTACTACAACACAGACATGTGTCTCAGTCTTCAGTAACTAGCTGTCAGTCCTTAAAGATTATACTGAAATGGAAAAGGGCATGAAGCCTGGGAAAATAATGGCCAAATTTGTTTAACATACTTTACAACAATGGTTCTGCCACAAAATTTTAAGTAACTCTTGTTCATTAGAGGCTGAGTCTCTGCATCCAGTGCTGTAGAAGCCTGAAGGAATCACACAGAATTTGTCTAATTGGCATCATGGATGAAGGCTGCTGAAGCATGGGGAACGACCTGATCTTCTGCACCAGTAATGATCTTATTGCCATAGTTACAGTTGTCTGACTCTCCCACTCCCTGCAAGGCAACAAATCACATTAAGAATATTTGCAAAACCTTGAAAGTCTCACCTAGGGTACAAGTAGTTGAACAGCTGCCTTAAAAGCTAGTTCTGCTTATAGTCACGCCCAATCCTGCTTCAGCTGTGGGGGAAGCCCTCATTAAAAAATTAAACATCTGTACACTCCTTAATCCAGGCACTGGCACCCCAGGGACTCCTTCAGCTTTGTGGATGCTGAGCAGGCTGAGCCCTATGGAGAGCTATGAGGTCAAGTAGAAGTTTCTCATGAGCCATCCTGCCTAGAGAAGGAAATTAGTATCATTCTTGCAAACCTGTTCAGATCAGGAGCCAAGTTTAGGACAGGGGCACTGAGATGTGAGTGAGTTGGTGTTGACTGGTCTTGGCAAGGCTGAAATGTCTTTTCTTTCCATGAGATGAGAGCGTTGATTCCAACCCCCACTAAATTTAAGCTATCTTTCATTTCCTTTCATGAAGCTGTGCTCTACCTGAACAGTGCAGGGGTACAACAGCACACAGTGTGAGTAAGAGCCAGAGCAAGGACACTTACCATTCTTGTCTAAAGAGCCTCAATTCTTATTCTCTGAATTAAAGAATTGAAGTCTCAAAGGAATATGGTTACTAACCCACTATGGCACTTTTAATGCAAGGGCATATTCCAACCCTTAAGATTTGTATCCTTTTTTTTTTTTTTTTTTTCCCTCTTCATCTTTTTGTTAGTAAGCAACAGTAGCTTCTTTTTCTACTTTTTCCATTTTCAGCCCCTCTTGTCTCTCTGGTCGGGGTGGTAAGCAGGGTGCCTGACTGAGTCAGGTGCCTCACAGGTATTAAGATGAATTTTCCTTTCCAAAGCACTTTGTCTCCATTTCCTGGCTTGTTAGGATCTGTGTGGTGGTTTGGGTAGTTTCAGCATACTCTGTAATCCACTGTCTGCCTTTTTCCATGGAAAATGTGAGGATGTCATTGTCAGGCATGCACAGCAACTAAACTGCTGGGCATTCTTGCATGTATCATCTCCTTATTTTGTAAGCTGACTTGATAAATTAAGAATTGGTTTCACACAAACCAAGGCATCATTTAGTACAATTAATGGGATGGACAAAGGGTCTTTTTGTCAAGCACACTGTCTTTTTGTTCATCTGCCATCTCCTTTTACGGGCTCATTTAAGGTGAGCCTGAAAAGCGTTCAAGGTTTCAGGCGAAGCATCCATTTGAATCTTTTAATTGAGATCAGGAGAGCAGAAGCAGCAAGCAAACTTGAAACTCTGGAAAGGGGAAAAATATGTCAATGGGTCTGAGACAAACCTTGTTGCAAAGCCTTGTTGCATAGGTTTGGAGAGAGGCAGGGCACATCTTTTTCTCGCAATCTGCTGTGACTTTTGTGATTGAGTCAGTAAGCCTCTCCCTTCTTCTCAAGCACAGAGTTTCCCTTCTGGACCATTGCTTTGCAGGACTCTGAGGGCACAGTAGCTTACAGAGGGGATTTTTTTCAGTATCTCATGGGAAATGTAGTCCACTTAGAAGCCCTCAACTTAGAGAGAAACCCTGGCACAGAAATGCCCATGGAGAGCCACAACTCCCAGTTAAGGATTAATGGCACCTGACAGTGTTCACCCTTCCATTAAAGAAAAAAAAAAAAACAAATAAAACAAAAAACCTCTTTTTTGTGAAAAATGCTTTTCTACATCTTTTGTCTAAGCCTTTGCCTACATCTTTTGCACAATTGAACCTGATTATCTAGCAGTGTGGAAGGGATGAACTCTGCATCTGCTCAACACTTACTGCATTAAGCTCGCCTCCTTGGCTATGAATGAATGCTTTGAACTGTTACCTGTAGCCAATTTCATAATGGCCATTAATAACATCTAAAAGTATATGTGTACTGAAAAAGGAGGAAAGCAAGCACTCTCCTTTAGGTGATTGAGCAGCTGCATTATATCTGCATTGTCTTGGCAAAGTTACTGCTTTTGTGTGAAACCGTGGGTTGGGATTTTTTTTTGTTTGTTGGGTGAATTGACAAAAATTGTATCAGGCGTGACTTAGAAGGCATTGGATCAACAAAATACAAGGACTCATACTGTATTATGCCTTTCACAAGTTGTTTGAGCAGTGGGTCAATTCTCAGTTATCAATAGTTTGCAATGAGAGATCAGGCTGTGGTCTTTGATATGGTTTTTAAGTTGACCCCTACTGACTCAGCTGGGCATGCAGAGGATGTCTGCAAACGCATCTTCGATTTTAAGTTATAACCAAGCTGTAGGAAATAAAACCTCCTTGCCAAATAAATTATAGAATACTTTATTTTACTTAATCTTGCCCAGCAAGCTAAAATAAACATGCATCCTTAGATCTACCAGTAAGTCATGTAACATGATAATTACTCAGTGTGCAATCGTTACTTTTCCAATAGCACTCATTACCCCAACAGCTCTTGAGCATTTCTGCAGCAACACTTGCCTTGTAGCTATAACAACTCATTTTGAAAGTTTCTGAAGGCATTTTTTTGCTCTGACTAGCATTGATTGCATTTCATTTACCTTTTTGCCTCTGCTATTGTTTATTGGCAAGAGTTTATCAATTAGCTCAGTCAAGATCCCAACAAAAACTACAGTTTCACCCACTAAAAATCAATAAAGAAACTCAATAACTCTTTCCAAAATCCAATAAGGAAGCAGCAAATAAAGTGTTCACAGCAAAAATGTGCACAGGGCATTGGCTGAATAGTTTATCTGATGAAAAAATTATGGGTTTTGTTGACTTTAACTACCTACCAAATGCAACCTGAACCTGCAAACAGTTTGTTCCTGCCTTGCCCTTTTGCTTTTGTTTCAAAATTCTGAAACAAAGGTGGTGTTTTCAAAGAGTAAGTATTTTGATAGTTTAGAAAACATATCTTGAGATAAAGGTTATGGAAATGTGAAAATACTACTATTTTTGAAGGTTAAAACTATACTAAAACCAAGTCACAATATTATATGCAGGAACAGGAAGGAAGAACAGGCAATGTTATGCTGCTTAATTCAGACCAAAGCAAACATTCTTTGCTTCCACTTCCAAGTGACTTTGTAATTGTCCTTTGGACCTCAATGGACTTCCATTCCTCATGTTTAAAGTGGGAGTCCATCTGGAGTGTATTTTTGGGGACATGGGCTAAAGCTCATTTGTGCTTTTCAAGATGAGACTAATTTAGTGACTTTCATTGCAGAAAGCAATAAGAAATTATTTTGTATTGTAGTTTGGGATGAAAAATTCCAGAGGAATATATCTGATGATGACCTAACTAATTCTAATGCAGAAGCAGTGGGTGTTTTCAGCAGAGCTACAGCAGGATCAGTTTTCAAATGCCTTTTAGATATGGACAATAATTCTTGCTCTTTTTTACTACTGTGGTGGCTAGAGGCTTCCAGCCAAGCCAGGATCTGGTATCTTGTGTGATGCTGTAGTGTTTGTGCACACATTGCAAGACATTCCTGTCCCTGAAGACGTGCTAAAATAAGCAGATAAGACAAAAATACTGGGAGAAAGCAAATATTTTTTCTTTTTCCTTGTTCAACTGATGAAAATAGGGGAGAAGTTGAGATACTTCCTGATTACCTGTGAAGTTGCAAGCACAGCCCTGAGGCAAACACTAGTACCTTCATTTCCAGTAGGATACTTTAATCTTCTATTATCCTTCATGTGAAGAGGAACCAGAACACAGCAGTTGGGAAACATTGTGCTTCTCATATTTTGAAATGGTCCAGAGTAAGCAGCCATTTTTGGCATAACAAAACTGCTTAAGGCTTGTCAACAATTAACATCGTGTTTAGAATGGAAAACATATATTTTTAAAATCTGCTTCACTCTGATCAGATTAGAAAATGGTGTCAAGGCAATTAAGGGAAAATAAAGAAGGATGAAATTGCTCTCAGAGTAATGGAAAAATAATTATCAGTGTGCCAGCTGATGGTGTGTTGTCCCTGCAGGATGCCAGAGGAGAAACATCTATTTTCAAAGTGCTTTTTGGGCCTCATCCTACGTCGCACTCAGCTTGCTCAGTTCCCACACCATGTGGATAGAAACTAGAGGCCCCCAGCACCTCAGCAGCTGCCCTGAGCATCTTCCAGGATCAGCCCACCATGGACAAGGGCAGTTTGTGCACTGGCAATGAGAGCAATACAAAGGAGTTGAAAACACAACAAAAGAAAATAAAATGTGTTGGAAATTTTCTTAGTTAAAGATGATGGCTTTTAATTGTGATTTATTAACACGGTTGCTGCCATGTTTCCAGTGATTGTCTGCTGTTTTGGAAAATTGTATCCTTGGATGTACTGACACAGTTGTGTGTGTTTATGGTGAGAGATCTCCACAAAACAGTTGAGGAGCTGGGAGACTGCTGGTATGCTGGAAAGTGTGTTCAGAGGGCTTTTCTCAAGATCTCGGAGAAAAACCCTCAGAAATTTGGTGAGGAGATTATCGTGAAGAGATTTTGAAACCTTGTCCTCCTGCTCATAATAAGCTACTCCTAGGAAGGAGCATTGAAAATAAAACTCTGATTTTAATGAAAACTTTAGGAATGTTTACATTTGCTTTCATGGCCTTTGGTTTATAAACTCTTGCAGCAGCAAAGGGAGAGGCCAGAAGTTGTACTGGGAGCTAGCACCCATGCGGTTTCTCATGGTAGAGGAAAAAAAATTAGCAAATTCCATTAAACTGTTGGATTTTATTCTGCCTTGCTGCTATTTAGCAAAGGTAAATGCACTGTGAAGATCAGGGGCACAGCAGTCATATGCTCTGGTCTGTGACATGAGCACATATAAATGGTTCTGAAGTCTTCCTTTTCTTGGCTACACAGACAGTGGCAGCAGGAGAGCTCCTGCCTTGCCCTCCTGCTCTAAATGTTCTTAGACCTTTCTAACTACGGCCAAGGGGAGGACTTTCTTAATCAACCTCATTGGTGATCTGACTGAAGGTCTTTAGCAAGGTTTATTATTTTCTTCATCTTTGGCCTGAGTTGGTGAGATGGGTAATTAATTATAGTTTATCCATTTGTCAGAATGATTAAAGCAGCTCTGCTGTGTAGCTTGACCTTCAGGTAACCGGAGAATTCTTTTCACTTAACACTCTCCTACCACTGCATGAAATTTGTGCAGCCTCTTGCACCTAATATTTTCCTCTACATTTTTTCTGAATGTTTTGCATTCTTCAAGTATGAATTTTTTCTTAATCTAGAAAATACATAGAATCATTCTCACTAGGATTGGAAGAATTTCTGAGACCCACAAGAACATTCATATTGAATATTGTGAGCAGTCTTGTAGGTTTATTAGCTTTTAAACAGATCTACATCCCTTTTATTGAAACTAATATATAAAACTTCCCTGCCTCTTAGTGATTTGTTCTCTCTTTCTTTACTGAAGCTAAAGATAAATCTTTTGTGATCCTACTCTCTGAGGTTTTATTGAAAACCACACTTTTGCTTATAGAGGTTCCTGAGAGAACCAGTTTAAATGCCTACCAGAGTGATGGAGGGTTCTGAGGGTTTTGTACTGAGACTCCAGACTGACGCTGGAAAGGGTATTCCTCCAATCTTGCTTGTGATGTAACAGTAAAATAAACTAAGGATATCTTTCAGATTTTGTTTGTCTTTACCATTACTTGGCTTGAAAAGTCTCTCCAATCCTTCCTCTTTCAACTGGTCTAACTAGAAAATTCCAGCACATATTCCTGTTTCTGTCCTGGGAAGGACTTTGGATCTTGGATCCTAAATTGTAGTGGTACAGAACTTGGAGCATGATGGAGGACAGGAAGCCTGGAACTTGGCCACCTTCCTTCTGGTGTCTTCTTGAGAAGTGCCTACTATTTACTCCCTGGTGACTTTTCTCACAGAACCATTGTCTGTTAGCTCACCACATGTCAAAGGAAAATGTTCTAATTTAAAATACAATGGTGCCTGGTGCTGATACTGTAATTGTGTTTTCATATTCATAGATCACTTCAGAAAATTCCAATACTTGGCAGAGTATTGTGAGCAAAGTTTCCATAAATTATGAGATTGCCTTAAAATCCTGAGACTCCAAGGTGTGTGGACGTGTATTTCTCTTGGGTATTTCTTTAGGGTTTATATTTTTCAAGCTTTCCCCCTGTCAGCTGAAAAACAAGTCACTTATGAACAAAAGAAAAGCTGAGAAGTTCCTTCATGTTAGAGGGCTTCAGGAGCCACAACTTGAGTATGAAATGTCACTGGGTTTGTAATGAAATTATAGGAGCTGGCAGGACTACCAGCTTTCTCTCCTTTGTCTACTTCTTAAAAACAAAACCCTTTAAAGTTGAACTACTGTTCCTATAATAATTGTAATTAAATATCACTGTGCTTTAATACATACCTCCTATTCTGTGATCTTGTGTAATTATTTTGCATTAAACATATGATTAACAAGACATAGAAGTGCTTGGGAAACTTTTGCATTATTCCTTCTAAAATAGTTTTTTCTCAGCAGCCCAAACTTTGGTAATTTAAAACCAAACATATGCATTGTCCGCACATTTCAAGAAGCAGCTGGATTAAAACCTTTTGGATGAGATTTTAATGAATGACTGTGTTCTCTCACTGAATCAGTGCAGGAAGTAAATTTTTAATGACTCATTAACAAAGTTAATAGTTTTTAAAATCATTACAGTGCACTTCCATTATTTTGTTTCTTTTTGCAGTGGGACTAATGCTCCATGCATCATAGTAATGTTTTTCTTTTGGTGCTTCCAACAAAAGTTGTTCTGACTCAGAGTTCCTCTAGGAAATGTGTTATGAAAATGGAAATTTAGAAATATTCTGAGATTCTCAGGAGTTGGATTTAGGATCACAATAGAGGGCCAGACACTACGGTCTATATGGGCCCCTTTAGAAGGAGATACATACCTAGTATGTTTTTCCAAAAGTATTTGAGTAGCCTAACATCTTGATTTAAGTATGAATCAAAGGGCAAATTTTTATAAGTACTCTATATAACCCTATAAACTGCCTAGATTTTTTTTTCCTTCCTTCACTGTTTGAAATATTTTAGATGGTCCTAAGTCTGCATTCATATGCCCACTGACCAGCAGCCTTAGCCTGGCATGATAAGAGATTCATGCATATTACTGTGTATTCCTTTCTGTCTACTGGCAGCACTTCCTATTGGCTATATTTTATGTACAGGCATAACTTTTATAGGAGCCTTTTTGCTACAGCTGTCACCATGAAAATCATGCTGTTTCATTCAGTTCAGATCGACTGCTTTGAGTGGATTAAAAAATACCTAAAATTATTTTCTGTAATTTATCTCCTAGTCAAATGCCTGTATAGTCCACTGCCTGCTGAGTGAAGAGAATTTATAATAAATGTTAGCTAACAAGCTTCTTCCTTGATAACTAGAGCATTAAATTCATTGACAAATGTTGCCATGAGTTGGTTTGTGAGGAAGTAAGTGGAGTTCAGAAGTAAGGAGAAAAAATATGAGGTCACAGAAAGGGACCTGGAGAAATTTGAAAGCTTAGCACTTGTCAGCATTAGAGAAGATCTTTGTCCTGATAAAACTATATAGAAAAATATGTAATAAAGTGAATAATGGAGGTACCACTATCCCTCAAATCATACTAAAAAGTATATAGGGGTTCAGAGATAGCAAGAGGGGTGAATTTAAAACTAAAGCTGTGATTCCCATTGATTTGAGAGCAATTCATGGCACTAAATGAGATAAATACAGGTGATCTTACCGTTTGTGAACATTACCTCCCATAGAGTTCATGGCCAGGCTACCCAAGGTGTCTGAAAGCAGCAGGGGATGGTATTTACTGTTTTACAAACACCAGTATTGAAACCTGCACTCAGGAAACCTTGCAGCTTGAGCCTAAATGTAAAATAACCATAAGCAGAAGTGACTTCCTCTCTTGCTTATCCAGCCCCAGACAAGCATTTTGTAATTTTGACCCTTACAAGATCATTGAAATTAAGGAACCTCTTAGCCTGCAGCACAGATTTCTAGTGAGGCCTTAAGGTGCTGTTCTGGGGGCATTACATTTCTGAAAGAATCTAAATTTTAGGACACGTCATCTCTATTTTGCATGTTCCCTGCTTGTCTTCATATGCATCTGTGCCATGATGGGACTGTGATCCAGGAGATCTTCACGGATTATATTTTCTTAGTCTGCAGGCAATAGATCCTGCAATAGCCTCAGTCTTGAGGTTATTATAATTGTTTATTTTTTATGAGGCTATTATAATTGTTTTGCAGGGACTAAAGCCTGCTGTCATAAGAGTGAACTGGGTTACTAGCAGAAATTAAGTGCCTTCAAGGACAGGACTACAGGGAATCAGGGTTTTGTGAACCACCATGGTTTCTACCTACACAAAAACTGTTTGCAGATCCCACCATTTCAGTTAAAAATGGCAAGTTACCCATGTGTCACTTATCCTATCTCATTCCTGCTCCTGGTGCTCCCCAAGTTTGTACCCCTTTGACAGGGACACAGATTTCCTTATCAGTCTCATGGTGGTTGTGCCTAAAACTCAGGCTGGCACAGCCTGTGCCAGGAGCTGGCATGACTGAACAGGTCTTCAGGCAGATTGCTTTCAAAGGAACAATTTTATTTTTTACATTGGAAGTGTCCCCTGATATAAAGGACAAAAAAGGGATCCATGGAGATAGAGTAACCATCTTGAGGGGTTAGACCTTGCTAAGCAGCACAGACAAAGAAAGGGAACCAAGATTTTTGAGCACCAGCCTGGAACCATCAGGCCGGCTGTTTCTGCAGGTGCTTTGTAGTTTCTTAACAGGTGGTTGCTGTATTATTGTAGGTACTGATACAGGTTGTAGTCAATCTATGCAAGCTATCATAAAAGTTGGATTTAGGTGCATGCATGTTTAGGTCAATGCAGAGTGAGAGCAAGCAGCATTTGGAAGGGAGGCTGCTTCATATGTGCTTCCTGTCACTGGATGTTTAAGTCAAGGGGAAATCCAGTGCTTTGTCCTCACCAGAAATCAGTAAACTATACTGTACACTAGAAGTTCAGTGTAGAACTGTTCTTAGAATTGGCAGTGCTGAAAAATAAAATGAGCTGATATTATCAGTGGCTAATTCAGCTCTACAGTATTTTTAATGGTACTTATTGATAATATATAGGTTCTAATTGGTAATTCCCACTTTTAATTATCTTATATTTAGTTGCAGCAAATGGTCCCTCATTCTTTAATGTAAATAAATTTGTGTGAGCATATGTTTAATGGCCTCTTTCATATTTTCCTTTTAGCCAATGATGGAATTTGTTCTGCTCAAGCTAAGCACCTACATATTTTGTGGCAGTTTACTTATCTATCATTCTTCTGAAAATACCACAGACAAGATAAATGTATTGGCACCAATGTGGTACTTGGGTGATTAATGTCAAAGCTATTTCTAAACCATTAGTTTTTTATACATGACATTTTATCTTTGTTTAGAAAAATAGATGCACTAAGTACAGATGCTAACTATAGATTAAGAAAATTTATTTTGAAATGTAATGAACTTTGAGAGGGGATTGCCTCCAAAAGTAATGTCCTCACCCTTAACTGCTCAATGTTAAAATTTTTTATTTTAAATCCACTTTTACTCATTAGTTTGAGGTGATTGTCTAAATAACAATACACTACAGAAACACTGATTTATGT